GTGTGTGTGTGTGTGTGTGTGTGTGTGTGTGTGTTTGAGAGAGAGAAAGAGAGAGAGAGCGAATTTAGTTGTAAACGGTCAAACTTCTAGCATTAAATAGTCGAGGTAGACCAGTCCTTCAAGCCACAAGCTGTCAGTGTCTGTTTCCATTTTGATATTAGCTGTCCCTTCAGGTTCAGTTTGTTTAATCTGTTTATTCCTTTGTGAAAACAAATTGATTGTGTTGAGAYATGTGAGTACAGTAATCATCTCTGTTGTTCCATTTGACCTCACTGTTTGACAGTTAACCCATTCTAGAGAACAGATTTAGATTTTTTTAATATAAAGTTTGAGAACATTTAGTTTAAATGATATTATTTACATAAACTTTTGAGTATTATGTTACTTTAAGACTGCAAAATCAACTTGTGAAGTTGATAATCTCAGAACTGACAAGCAGGTGGCTAGTGTAAACTAATCCACTGCCAAGGCAGATTATTTCCATCTTAAAACAAATATGTTTTTCTAATTTTATACTGTTTCATGCAAATACTTGTATGTAGCACTAACTGGTGCAATATTGCTAAAAAATAAAAATAAATAAAAAACACTTCTTTCCTGCAGTGCTAGTAAATCACTCAATCCGTTTAAGTAACAGCTCTCACCAAACATTCTGAATTTACTTAATATTTAATCTAAAGTATAGAAATCTAAACGATTCCTGCCCAAAGTCTTATTTTKCCTTATTTGATCTCTGCATTTAAAAGAATAATGTGTAAGTTTTGATTGATTATTTATTGTTCTTTAGCAATTACTCGACATCTCTCCAAAGTAATGTTTCTAATGTATAATTTGTGTAGTTAAATTATATTGCTTTTTTATTTTCTCAGGATAGAAACTCCCTGTGATTACAAACCCATCTTTAGCTGTTGAGTTTGATTATAGAAGTGTCAATAAGTAAAGTAACTATTGAGCAGTAGATCTGGTGCCCCTAACCTTTACAAGTGCTATTATGTACCGTATGTGTAGCAGAGCAGAGAAAATCCATCAGCCTTATTTTTCTCACTCACATGTGTTGCATAATTTATTTCATCAATTTTGCATTACATGGTTTTTCTGGCAGAAATRTTAGGATTTTTCCTACCAGAAGTGGCCCCAGGCTACAACTAAAGTGCCACACCTTGCTGCTGCTGCAGCTGTTTACATTTGTAAACAACTGTGTAATGTGAAACTGCTGCCAGTGGACAGATTAATAAAATCAAGTATGAAATGTTGGTGACTGAAGTCATATGAAGACAGCAGCAGTCCATTTTGGTCTTGGCCCATTAGACCAGCTGTTCGTTTGCCAATCTGATCAGAATCAAGCTATTTCCCCAAACTGAGGTTCTTCAAACATATATCTGCTGCAGGTAAGATATTTATTCATAAGTGACAAATGTTGTTTTCAAAAAAAGACAATGCCAATTGATTAGTATACATTAGGGCTACAATGAGCAAGTTCGATCACATATTTTGACATGACTTAACTTTCGTATTTTTCCTGTCTGTTATAGCAGCGCATCAGAGAATGTCTACTCGATGATTCAGCACCCRAAAGACATTGTAAGACCAGAGAGTGCGGTCCCTGGTGCAAACGGGACCRTGTCTTCACCTCGGCCAACTCAGGGAGTCCCCGCTCTCGGGATGAGGGCTTCCAGTCCCCCCTGTATCATTCAAAGACAGGTACAAGTGTGATGGACAGTCCCAGCATATCCCATACATAAACAACCACGAATGTGAGCAGCTGTTGACAACAACACATTTCTGCATGAATTAGCATTTTTCTGAGCTTTGACAACTACAGCAAGATGAGAAAATAAACAATAGTAAAATACAATTCCTTAAGTCAAGCAGTCTGTTTTTACAGTCGGGGTCTGAAATGATGAGAGTTCTGCTCCCAGTTTCAGGAGTCCCATGTGACGACAGAGCAGAGCTGCATGCTGTGCCCACCACCTGCTATTCTCAGCCTTTTTATGTCTTAGATTTGTGTAGCTTGTTTGAAACAGAGACTTGAGGGTCTATTTTAAATCTGTTCTCTCACACACTGAGTCCCAAATGGGTTTTAGTGACTCAAATTCTGGCAAAAACAGCTTTCCCAGACTGAGGGGATTTAAGGACTTCCTCTGTTAAATGGAGAATCTTTTAATGATAATGGAGTATTTGGATTTTTAAAAAAAGGTATAGTCAGTAGTATTTTATGCTTTGGTTCTCCAATTGTAATTATTGTTTTTATTATTTCAGATTAGTCTAATTTGAGTTGTGTTCTCCCCCGCTCCAGTCCACAGATCTGGTCAGCATGGTCTACAGCTGCATCGGGGCAGAAATCGARGATTCTGACAGCAGCAGCTCCTGTGACATCAAAGAGTCGGAACACGGCGCTGACGGATCAAACGCCGCCTCAGTCACCCCGGCAGGTACTCGGAGTAACGGCCATGTGGCGTCCTCCAAACAACAGACGGACAGACAGATGGAGACGGGCCGGCAGGAGAGAATTGTCCCTCTGACGGACCCACGGACGGAGGCGGCAGAGGACACACAGGGCTCCAGCTTTGGCGGCGGGGCCCCCTGTGGACCAAGACCAGAGCCACCGCTGCAGAGCACCAGGCCCAGTCTGGCTGTGATGAGACAGAGACACCTGCAGGAGAGTTTAGGTACTGCAAGTTTGWACATGAACACTTGTGAGATGTGTTTTGGATTATGGAAATTAAACTAGGAAAGAGCTGAACATCCAGGTATGATGTAGGAAAACAACTGCAGATAAAGACTTTAATAGGTGCTTTTATGTAAGGGCAGAGAGAGTGAAAAGCACATCCTGCTCCTCTGAAGGCCAAGCAGAATCTCTAATCTCTAATTAATTACATTGTTTGATTAACTCGAAATTAGCACATAATTCAGTTAAACTTATTTCCTTATAGATTTTTCTGAGTTCTTTTCATAGCTACTGTGGCTACCAATACATGTTAATACAGAACATATTGCAGTGAACCATGCTGTATTTTTAAGTGTATTAGTTCAAAGCGGAGAAATTGTAAAGGCCAAAGCAACAGCCTGTCTTGTAAGAAAATCACATCTGTCTGAGGAGGTTGTGAAAGCAGACCTAAAGGCTTATGGGAAATCCAAATTTTGGGAAAAACAACATATATAGGCTGCAAGTCTATCATTTACTCATCTATGACAAACTTTGATGCATGAAATTAACATTTATTTTAAGTATTGCAACTTTATTTTGAACTATCTGCAGTTTATCCAAATCTTTTTTTTTTGTTTGTTTGTGTGCTTGTTTGTTTTGTATGATCAATTAGTGCACATGGGGGCTCAGCTGGTAGAGCTATCGCTTTCCAGCAAGAAGGTTGCCGGATCAAATCTCGGTCGGGGACCTGTGGTAGAGTTTGCATGTTCTTTCCGTGCATTARTGGGTTTTCTTCAAGCACTCCAGCTTCCTCCCACAKAYCAAAAACATGACTATTAGGTTAATTTAGGACTCTAGAGTGAATGGTTGTTTGTCTATGTGTCCCTGTGATGGACGTGCAGCCTGTCCAGTGTGTACCCCGCCCCTCACACATTTACTGCTGGATATGGGCCCCCGTGACCAAGAAAGGAAGAAGCAGGTGAAAGATAATGGATGGTTGGAGTTAGTGCTCTTAGTATGYAATGTGGGTGACTCTCATCCACTGCCACACCAAGTATGAGCTCAGCAAAACTGGTTGGGTTAAAGTCATTTTTGGGTTTCCTAGCTGGGGCAGCCATCTTGAATCAGGTTGAATTCAAAAGTTAATCAGTTGAAGATGTATATCCAGTGATTACTTTCTGTGGGATTTATTAAAAACTCAGCAAATAATAAAATATTTTGCTAACAGACAAACTGATGGGAGACAGGTCGACCATAAAGTGCAAGTTCATCAGACGGGACATACAACAATCATACATTATGTGTTTCTCACATTTGTCATGTTCTTTTTTTTTATTTAGGATGCCATTTTATACAGCATCTTACCAGGATCTTTCATTGTGGTTTAAGCAGTGGCTGAAGAAGTCTTCAAAATATTTRTCTTTGTCAATAAAATTACACCAAAACAAGTAAAAATTCTGCTTTGGTAAGCGTAGAAGTAACTGATTGCTCAGGATGACTTATTTACAYCTGAATAACGACAGGATAAAATGTCTGCCACAGTTTACCATTTAGTCTCTCTCTGCAGCTGAACCAGAACCACAAATTTCCTCTTTTATTGTATCTCTCTGGTTATAAAAGCAAGAAAAAATGTATTTTCTAAGACATGATGCTGCTGTTATTTCTACTCTGACACCAGCAATTTTAAACTGTTTGTTCTGGAGACTTTATGTTGCTCCGGTCCAAAAAATTAATTTCTATGAATTAGTATTTGCGACCCTGAAAAGGAAGAAGCGTGTACAGAAAATGGATGGATGGATGGATAGTATTTGCACAGTTATCTGCATTTTCTCTATACAAAGAAAAAATAAGAATGCACCTTAAATTAACTCATAACAATTCTGAATCACAAGCATGCATTTTTTAATAATTTTTTTAACTGTTTAAAAGTCACAGATTTTTGTTTGGAGGAAAAGTGATGTGATTGGATTAGCTCCAAAGTCATGCTGCTCCAGCTGTCGGGGCTTTGAGAGAAGAGCCTTTGTTAAGAGCTATTGTTAGCTTCATAGCTTCATGTCTGGACTTTTTAATAAGTGGAGCATCTATAATAGGATATAATGCCATCAGACTCATTAGGAGTACAGAGATGTGTAGTGCCGCCAGATGCCACAAAAAATGTWTTGTTATATCTGCAGATTCAATGAACAATCATATGCAGCATAAATAAAAGAAACAGGAACTCAT